GGCAGGGGCCCATGGCTTGGGGTGGCGTCGCTCCTCTGTTGTGGCGTGGCCTCCGCGCGCAGTGCCCCCCTCTCGTCGGTCTCGTGGTCGCCCTCCCTGGGGGTCTGGGCGCCTGCGCTGCCGAGTGGGGGGTGGGGGCTGTGCGCGAAGTCAGTCGCCGTGGTGAGAGGCGGCGTTGTGGTGAGGCTGAGCGCCTGCCTCCTCGTTCGCGTGCTCGCGCCTCCGACTGCGCGGCCGAGGGGGCTGCTCTCGGAGCCGCCGGGCGCGATGGCTAGCCGTGTGCGTCTTGTTTCGGGGCGCTGATGTCCAGCCCGCGGGGCTGCCTGCCGGTCGGGGCCTCGCGAGCTTCCCCGAGGTTCCGAGGTGTGCGCGGGAAAGAAGTACTTGGAATATTATGGAGAAAAACGAAGTTGGGCCGTCTTGAAGGCGCGCCAGTGCCTGGGGCTCAGGCCGTTCTGTGTCGTGTGCGACGCGCTTTGCGTGCTGCGCGTAACCGTGGGGCGCGGCGCCTGGTTTTGGCTGACTCGCGGGCGTCGGTTTTGGCTGCGGGCAGGGCTGGCGCGCGCAGTCGCATTCCGCCGCGTATTGTGCGCAAGTTCAGCGGCCTCGCTTCGGCCGCTGGTTCGGCTTTCAGTATTGGGTGGGTTCCGTCCGAGTGCAATGTCGCAGATGGCCCCTCGCGGTGCCCCGGGGGCCCGTCGGGGCCCTCGCGCCTCCGACGTCCAGGATTCGCCCCAGGGCGTCGGCTGTCGGGGCGCCGGGTCCTCGTTATCAGCCCAGGCGCCGCTCTATCGGCGACCAGGGCTCGACCCAGACTCGCGCCAGGGCGACGAGGGCCAGGGCCTGGCTGGGGTAAGCTCGACAGCTCGATTCCCGACCACCCTGTCCATCCTGATGGCCTCGCCGGCTCAAAGGTCCTACGTGTGTAGCCATTTGTATATGCTTACCTTGTTTTGCGCCGTGCTGCTGGGCGCGATTGGGCTTGCCGCCGCGGGCCCCCCTGGCTGGGGCTGTCCGGAGAAGGCCAGCTGGCGTGGGCGCGTCGGGGGGCCAGGCTTCGTTGCCGCGCCCGGCTGGTTCCAACTCCGCGGCGGCGGCGTCGCTGCCGGTGCTCCGCCGGGGGGCCCCGCCCCTGTCCAAGCAATCAGCCGAGGGGTGGCGTGACTTTGCGCTTCTCGCGAGCCGCGCGGCGCTGCCCGTCGAGGCCGTCGCCGGGATTGTCGACTACGTGCTCTGCCGCGGGCAGGTGCAGCGGGCGATGGCGGCGCGGTTGCTCGTCGAGATCCGCGGGCGCCCCGGCGAGATCGACGGCCTCGGTTTCGAGGGCGCGGTGCTGCCGGCGCCGGGCGGGTCCGACGCGCGTCGCTTCTAGTCCGCGACGCTGCGCGCGCGTGGTCGGGGAGGTCTTGGGCGCGGGGGTCCGACGCGGCGCCGCGGCTCGACCTCGAGCGCCGGCCGGGCCGAGGGCCGCGCCGCGGTTGCCGATGGGCGCCTCGCGGCGCAGCGAGGGCTCCGCCGATGCCGCCTCGCCGTTCGCGATCGGGCAGACCAGGGTGGCCGTCGCGCGGCGGGGCGCCGCGCAGGCGCCGGGGCTCAGGAAGCCGGGCGCGTTCCACCCGCGCCAGTGGCGCCATTCGGGGCCCGGCCGCGACAACTCAGCCAACTGGCGCGGCCCGGGGCGCGTCCGCCCGCGGTAGGTCGCGGAGCTCCGCGAGGCGGCGCGAGGAAGGCGGCCGCTGGGCCGATCAGCTCCACGACGTGGGCGCCGTGCGGCGCCGCTGCGCCGAGGACCTCCGCCGCCGCCTCGGCGCGACCCAGCGCGGCCCGCCCGTGCCGTCGGCGCCGGTCTGCCCGACCCGCCAGTGATCCACGACTTGTTTTCGGGCCGCGGTGATTGCGGCAAGGCGCGCGCCCTTCTCGGCGCGCCAGTGTTGCTGGGGGGGCAGCTCTGCGTTCGGCGATACAATGGCTCAAGATCCTGCGTTGGACGATAAAATGGTCGCGTGATGGGCTGTCGCGCTGGCGCCGCGTGCAACGCTCTGACCCGATGCCGCGATTTGGAGGGTGAAAGTGGGGGTCGGGCGCAGGGTCCTGGCAGTGGTGTCTTTATGGGCCGTAAGTGGGCGATGCGTCCTCGATTGCTGTGTTCGGCGACGCAAGGGGGCGGGGGGCTCGGGAAAGGCGACGAAGGCAACGTGCGCTGAGGGCGCAAAAAGAAAGGGTTGGAACAAACGAAAGCGGTGAGGTGAGTGTCAACATCTGCCCAGCCGACCTGACGCGCGGAACTCTGCGCCACTGTTTTGGGGATCTTGAAGGCCAGGGCAAAACGTGAATTCACATGGTGGGGAACAAGATGTGAGTTCACATGTTGGGAAAAGAACATGTGAATTCGCAATCTGGAATTTTGTGCCGGAATCTTTATGAAGTGACCAGAATGCGAGTGCACATTTCGGGAGAAAAGGAAAGGTTAATTCAAATTTTGTGAACGAGGACAATGTGATTTCACATTTTGGGAGAATCGTGGGACCCATTCCAAGTCAGTCTTGGGGGTCGATGAGTCATCGGGCGGGAACATGCGCGACCGTGAATCGACAATCAAGACACACTTGCACTCAACTTCGCCGCCCCGCGCGCAATATGCAAGAACGCCCGCGCGCGTGAACGTTGCTGGATGGGCGGCGCGCGCGCCCGCGCGGGCAACGCGCGGGCGCGAACGACTGGCCCCCCATGGCCCCCGACATTGGATGCCAATCGTACCCGATCACATACATGAGCGATACGCTGAGCATATATGGGCCATTCAGCCCCCACTGAAGATCCCCTTGTTGCAGACCTCCTCTTTCACCTTCCAAGCGATTCGCCGCCCGCCGAACTGCCCTGGCCCCGCCCGAATTGACCGAGAAACGCGGGGCGCCGCCCCACTTACGGCGCGCCGCGCCGGACATTTGCGACCTTGCCTCGCTGGCTTTCGCGTGGTGCTTCCTGGCCGACGACGGCGTGATGGCGACGTGCTGGGCAGTCGTAGTTCGTCGTGTCTTCGTCGTGCTGGTTGGGGTCGCTTCGGTGCCAACGTGGTCGGGTCGTTCTGTCAGTTCGCCGCTTGTCTGGGCGGTGTCGCCACGCGGAATGGAATGAGGGCTGTTGCTTGGCTGAACTTGCGGGCGTCTTGTCGGGCGGGGCACAGGGTGAGTTTGCCTGGTGTTGGGTTGGTGAGTTGCTCAACCCTTGCGGGCTCAGTCATGTCGGCTGTCAGATTTTCGAGCCTGGCGCGAGCTTTCGACGTGTCGCGCGGTTTCGGAGGTGCCAGGTCGGACCCGGCCCGCGCGCGTGTCTTGAGGTGCTCGTCGGGTTCGGGTCGGGCATGGCGGCGGCGCGGCGCGAGGCTGCCAGAGTAGTCGTTGTTTTGGCTATCGTTCCTGCGTTGCTTTCTCGGCGCTGTCCCTGGCGCGCGGCGGCTGTCGGCATGCTGCGTGGGCGAGCTGAGTGGGCGTCGTCGCTCGCGCGGGCGCGCGTGAGTCAGTTGCGGAAGCCTGCGCGTGCCAGCGGCGCGGAGCGCGGGTCCCGGCCCGCGGTGATCGCATGTATCTTGTGAGCAGCGCGCGCGTCGTCTGTAATTCGAGGCGTGCTGTGTTGTCCGCGTTGCGGGCGATTTGGCACGGTGCGCGTGCGCGACTTGAGCGAGGGTTGTCTGCCTCGCCCGTCCAAGGCAGGGGCCGAGGTGCTCAGTCGATTGTGCAGGGGGTTCCCTTCGAAGTGCGGAGTTCCCTTCCCGCAGTCTTGAAGTGGTTCGCCAGTGCCTTGGCTCGACAGGGTCTCCGCAGCCCTCCGAACCGAATCCTCCTTCCTCATCCTCCCGCCTTTTCTCTGGTGGTTCTTTCTCTTTCCTTCCCCCTTTGCCTCCCTCCCCCTTCGTGATTCCCCCCTCGCCCCTCCTGCTCCGTCCCTTTTCCTTCCCCCCTCCTGCTTCTCCCTCCTTTTTCGCCCTTCCCGAGCCGTTCGCCCACTTTGTGAGAGCCCCCATCGCCGTCTGCTTCCGCCGTTTGCTCTTTTTCTTCTCCCTTCTCCTCCCCTCCTCCCTCCTCCCTCCCTCCTTTTCCCTTCTCCTCCCTCCTCCCTCCTCCTCCCCCCCTTCCTCCTCTTGCCCAACCCCGCTCCTCCCTACTCCCCCGTTTTCCCTCTCCTCCTGCCTCTCGTTCCGCCGTCATTCGTCCCCTCTGCCTTTCCCCCTTCTGAGCCCTCGTGGTCTCTCCCGTTTCGCCCCCCCCCCCCCCCCGGCCTCCTCTTCCTCCTCTTCCGCAGCCTCCTCCTCGTTTTTCCTCCTCCTCCCCGCCGTCCCTTCCTCCCCCACCCTCCTTCGTCGTCCTCTTCCTCTTCTCCACCGCGCCCCTCCTTTTGTGACCGATTGCGCGGTGGGGCGCAGCCGGGCGCAGCTGATGGCAGCGCAGATCGCGCCAGTTTTTTTGGGCCGTCTGGAGGGTCGCTGCCTCTTCTCCTGGGAGGCCTCCCTGGGGTCCCAGAAGGGGGGCGCTGGCATGAACGCGGGCCGCCTTGAGAGAGAGAGAGAGAGAGAACAGAGAGAGAGAGAGAGAGCGATAGAGAGAGAGAGAGAGACATATACCGTTACATACATTTCTATGTGTACACACACATATATACACACAGAGAGCGAAAGAGAGAGAAAAAGAGAGAGAGAGAGAGAGAGAGAGAACAAACAAGAGAACGAGAGAAAGAGAGAACGACCGAACGAGCGAGCGAAGGAGGGAGTGATGGAGGGATGCAGAGAAAGAGAGAGAGAGATACATACATATATATATATATACAGAGAGAGAGAGAGAGAGAGAGAGAAAGAGAGCAAGAGAGAGAGAGAGAGAGAGAAATAAAGAGAGAGAGAGATACAACATAATAGAGGGAGATGGAGGGATAGAGAGAGAGAGAGAGAGATAGAGAGATAGGGAGATCGATAGAGAGAGAGGCACACACAGAAACTGCGGCGATGTCAGGCTCTGGGTGCTGTGGCGTTCGTCATCCCGCTGGCGGCGCGCAAGACCGCCGCGGCGACCCACAAGCAGCGCACGAGCTGAGCCACGCAGTGCCTCTGTCTTTGCTCCTCCTCCGCCCTTCCGCTTCTCCTGTTATTCCCACGCTCTCTCGATCCCTCGGGCTTCTCGGCCATCGCTCCCCGCTGCATTCTGTTCCTTCGCTTCCCCGTTCCTTCCCTCCCACTGCCTTGCCTCCCCTCCGTCCTCCTAACCTCTCCGCGCCCCCCCTCCCTACCCCCTTGCACTTGTCGCCTTGCCCGCCCGCCCCCTTTGTACCACTTGGCATCCTCCTCATTCTCTTTCACCTTTTCTAGTGCGCGCAGCCGTCGGCGTGGAGCAAAAGCGCTAATCCTCCTTTTTTCCCTCCTCCTGCTCCTCCTCCTCCTCCTGCTCCTCCCAATGGCAGTCCGCTGCGCTCCCCTCCCCGCCTCCGTCCCCTCTCCGTACCGTCCTTCCCGCTCGCTCCACGATAAGCATTGTCTCGTGGGGAGGCTGGTCGGAGAGGGCCCCAGGGAGGATCCTGCTGCTTCCGTAACGTTCTGCAGCTCCGTAACGTTATATGCCCCACAGGTCCCAATCGCCCTTGGAGGAGGAATAAGTGCTCCTCGTCGTCCTCGCGGGGCTCGAGCGCGAAGGCTGGGCCACGCCTTGCGAGGCCTGCGGCCGCTTGCGCCCGCGGCCCCCGCAAGTGGCACGCGCAGCCCGGCCAGAGCATCGATGCTCGGCGCCGCCATGCGCCGTGGCCCCGCGCCGCCTGGAGCCGCAGGCGTGGCGCAGTAGCTGCCGTCGTCGCCGTCGCCGCCGTCGTCGTGTCGTCGTCGCCGTTGCCGCCGTCGCCGCTGCCGCGGGGGGGCGGGCACAGGCGCGGGCGACAACGCGGCGTCGCGCGCGCGTGACGGAGGGGACTGGAGGGGGGGTGGGCACAACGCTGAGGCGGCCGCAACGACGGCGGCGCCGACGACGCAGCCGCTGCCAGCGGGGGCGCCCCACAAGCGCGCCCCCGCTGGCAGCCCACCAAGCGCACAAGGTGCCCACGAGGCGCCCACGAGGCGCCCACGGGCGGGCACCAGGCGAAACCTCGGCACACCCACTCAGGGCACGAGGTGCCCACGAGCGCCCACGGGCGGGCATCAGGAGAAACCTCGGCCATCCATCCATGTCACGAGTCGCCTGCGAGGCGCCCAGGGGTGATTTTGCGTTCTGCGTCGGCGTTCAGCTGGACACTTTTCGCAGGTGCAGGTGGGCACCTCTCCGGCTATCCTGTGCCACCGGCAGTTTGTATCACGATACGCGTTGTACCGTCCGCGCGGGGCGTGGAGGCCGCGCATATTCCTTGCGCTTTTAGGGAATTCTGCCGTCAGGGCGCCGCTCGTACTGACCACATGGATGATTAGGTCCGGCCACATATGGTACGCGTTGCAATTACAGTGTGCTTCTCCCCCCTCGCCTTCTTCTTTCCCTCCTCTTGCTCCCCCTCCCTCCTTTTTCCTGCGGTCATGCATGTATTGCTTGGCCGTCGAGGCCGTTCAATACGGGTCTGTCGCACTACAGTTTGGCAGGCCAGGGATGATATCTTGTAGGGCTAATTCGTATCCTTTGCAACCTGGTTTCTCTTTCCTCCTCCTCTCTTCCTTGCTTCATCTTCCTCCTCCTCCTCCTCCTTCTCGGTCTTACCCTGGCTTATGAAACAGCGGCGTTTTCTAGCGCGAGCTGTGCGCACATACCGACCACATCGGCCCACTGAAAGTTCTTTGAGTTTGATGATGTCGTTCGCCGAGCGGAAGACGGCAGAAGTATTGCGAGGGCGGCGGAAGCTGGCGGTAGTAGCAGTGCGCCTTCCGAACCCTTTGCCCCCGTAGAAGCCTAGCAAGTTAGTCTTCCTGGGTCGGGCGGGCTCCCGCCAAGCTTCGTCCTTCTTGTAAGTTTGATGCAACCAGTTCAACCAACATTCCGGTCCCTTCAGGGACCCGCCGTGTTGGAATCGGCTGGACGCAAGCTGGGGTTCATAAGTTCAGGGCTCCTGCTGTGGTGGGGCCGTCTTGATGCCATCTTCAGGCGATGCGCGCGCCGTCCTGTTTCCGCGGACCCCTTGTCAGGGCCTCTTGAAGCCATGCTGGGTCTATTGGATTTCATGTTCGCATGATCTGCATCTTGCGGGACCGCCCATTGCGTCGACCTGCGAACGATACTGGGTGCATCTTGGAGTTGTCGTCAGGTCGTTTTTAGATCGCACTCGCGTCATGTTAGGATTATGTGGGCGTCGCTGGGTCAGTTTGGAGTCGCCCTTGATGTGCCTGGGTGCATCTTCTGGCCTTGGGGCCGTCTTGGTATCGCCCGCTGCTCATCAGACGGATTATCGCATATGCAGCCTGAGACTCTCAAGATGCCCTGTCGGGATCATGTTGGGCCATGGGGTCATCTCAGTTTCGTTCGGAGGTCATCGTCGATCGCCTGGGGCCCGAGTGATACCACTTCGGGGCTATGAGGTCACGCAGTCATCGCGTGCACTTGTGCATACTTTCCCGTGTGACTTTCCAAGCAACTTTTGTTGGAGCCGAGTAAGTACTTGCACGGGGCCAGTCTATTGTCTAGACACATTGCAGTAAAGCTTCCGGTCGGCCTTGGCGCGGGATAGCCTTCACGAGGGGCAGCGGACTTCTCCCTTCTCCTGCTGCCGCCGCCGTTCTCAGCGGGGCAAAGAAAAGAAGCGAGGCGCCAACGGGTGGGCAACAGGCGAAGCCTCGGCACACCTACCCAGCCAGTGCACGAGGCGCCCACGAGGCGCCCACGAGCGCCCACGGGCGGGCACTAGGCGAAACCTCGGCACACCCGCCCAGCGCACGAGGCGCCCACGAGGCGCCCACGGGCGCCTACCAACCAGGCACCAGCCGAAAACACCACAGCGCAATTGAGCAACATGAGCAAGAACCCCAAAGTAAGTGCAAGCACTGTTTGGGGAACATCCCGCCTCGAGTTTTTCGAGCCGCGGGGTGTCCCGGGGAGGAGGGGAAGGAGTAGGGAAGAGAGGGAGGAGTCTGGAGGAGTGGAGGGAAGACGAAGACGAACAAAGAAACCCGCCGCCGTCCTAGGTGCGGCGCCGCCCTACGCTGGTGGGGCCCCCGCCCACGCGAGCAGCCAGCCGAGGCTGAGGCGTCCTTCCTGCTCCTTCCTCCTCTTCCTCCTCCTCCTACCCTCCTTCCACTACTCCTGCCATCATTCCTCCTCCTCCCCCTCTTCCTCCCCAGACATCTGGCGGCTGCAAAACATCGAGACGGCCCGTTGTCCGCGCCATTTTTGGTAGTTGGAGGCAGGTCTCGTATCCAGGGGCCGTCAAAAGCTATTCAAGATGCAAAGGAAGCCCTGAGGACGAGGTCAAGAGGTCCAGGGGCCCATTTCCATATATATATATATGTAGGTGTATATATATGTATATATATATATATATATATATATATAGTGTGCATGTTTTGTTGCCGGTGGTTTTCGCAGGTTTGTGCCTCCAGGGAGCTTATTTTAGACCCCAGGGCTGTCAACATTCGGGATGCAAAGCTGGTCTCCAGGAAAGGTCCGAGAGCTCCGGGGACCTCAGGATGAGCAGACTCGCGACGTTGAAGATCTGGGTTCTTCCTCTTCCGCGACGTCACGTCTCTTCCGCTCTCCTCGACCGACTTGCCTCCTTCCTCCTTCCTCCTGTCTTCCTCCTTCCCCACCTCCTCCGTTCCTCTCACGTTCTTCCCCCCTCTCTCCCGCGCTCCTCTCCTTCCTTTCCCCTCCCCTTCCCCCCCTCCAGCCGCTTTGGCTCAAGCATTTTGCAGAGGCCAAGGAGCGTCCGCCTCTTACGTGGTGCTTGAGAGGCACCAGCCGCTGTCCAATCCAATATTTCTTTCGGACAGTCAGAGCTGTTTGGGTAAATGGACGCAATGACGAAAAGGTGTCAAAAACAAAAGGGTACACCACGTGCCCACAATGTGGGAAGTGTGAGTGGAACGCGTTGTTCGCTAGCCGAAGGTGTAAGTGCCAGAAGTGCAATGCCAAACTCACCCTCTACGAGCCGCCGCCCAAGCCCGCCCTCTCTCCAGGAGCGCCAAGTCCGTCGCCGCCAAAGGTGCCAAGGATCAGGGCGGTTTGCGAGGCGCGCTGGCGGCTGCCCCCGACGTCGTCAAGACGTTGGAGGCAGCGCTCCAGGTCGTGCGCGACCCCTCGGTGAAGCTCATCTTGGAGCAGCAGCCCACCCAGGCCCGCGCTGCCGCTGCTGCGCCACAGAGCGTGCCAGCCGAGGAGGCCGTGCGCCTGGCGGCGGGCGCCTGGCGGGGTGCGTCAGCCAAGTGGGAGCAGGCCAGGGCCCAGGTGAAGCGGTGCAAAGCCAACCTCCAGCGGGCTCGTGAGCGCGAGGAGGAGACGGCACGCTCCCTGGCGCTGGCGGAGATCAACAGGCGCAGCGCTGCGGCGGCTTTGGCGGTTGCAACTGGGTTCGCCCCAGAGCCGGCAGCGGCAGCTGCAGCAACGCCAGAGGTCCCGCACATCGTCCTGTCGTGGGACGCCAGTTTCTTCGACAGCGTCGACGAGTTCGATTGCGGCGCGGAGGAGAACGCAGAGTTGAGGAAGATGGAGATGAGCTGGGGGCCGCCAAGGAGAGCGCGCAGTCGAAGGCCGAGCAGGTCTCGGAGTGGCGCTTCAGCCAAGGAGTTCCAGGAGCGGGTGCTGAAGAGGATGGCGACCAAGAAGCGACGCGCAGGCGGCGAGGCAGGCGAGGCCCTCGGGCCGGCAGCAGGCGCGGCCGCGGCGCCCGGCCAGCGTTGCCCATGCCCCAGGCGCTCCATCGGAAGCCGACGTCGAGGCAGAGATGGAGAAGCTGAGGTCAGCTGCGGCAGCGGGCGTGGGTGCAGCCGCGCTGGCGGTGCCACAAGCTGCCGAGATCGACGACGCGCAGCTGTGAGGCTGCGCGGCGGCCGAGGGCCTCGCGGCCCCCTCGGCCATCGAGCCGTCGCAGCCGCCGGGCGCCGTGGAGAGTGATGCCAGTCTTGAGCTCTGCAGCATGTTCT